CAGTACAGAAAAAAGAAAAAAAAAATTCATTCTCCATTGTACCTATCCAACCTGCAGAGAAAGGACAGATAAACTGACCCTGTAATATATTTGACATTAACCACTCATTGTCCTGTCTTCTCCACTAATCTTGAATTTTGATTCAACTTTTTCACTAGTAATATTTTTCAGCTATCATCTCCTCATACATAGCTTTTTGAGAGCTCTTTGAGAGCAAATGTCTCTCTCCTTCTCAGCCTCCTTACAGCTCCTCTTCTGTACAGCCCTGAAAATTACCGCTAAGATTCCTTCTTTGGCCACCTCATTCCACTTCTATTGAAGGTTGACTCACCCACCTCGTGGGTGAGTCATATCTATCATGGGTCTGTCAGATCTATCTATCTTTATAATTTGTCCAGAATCAAATTCCCTCTCAATATTACAACTACTATTACTCAGGTATGTCTCTCTCAGATTATTGTATGGCTGAAACTCTTCAGTCTTTGCCTCACTATAGTTCTTCAGAAAGTAGTGGCCTTTTGAAATTTTAAGTCAGAACATTAGTTCTAACTTACCCTGTACTCAAAAAAAAAAATCATCCAGGGCTGGCAGAGTGGCTCAAGCAATAGAGCACCTGCCTAGCAAGTGTTAGGCCCTGAGTTCAAACCCCAGTACTACCAAAAAATATATAAAATTTAAAAAATCATCCACTGGGGTCTGAGGCTATAGCTCAATGGTAGAGCACTTGCCTGGTATGAGGCTCTGGATCTGATCCCCAGCACCCACCTCCCCCGCCACCCACCCCACCCCACCCCCCATCCCCACCAGCAAAAAAAGAAATCATCCACTGGTTTCCTATTTCATTAAGGGTAAAAGACAAGAATCCCAAGGATTACTTACAAGGCCTGCACAATCTGTCCTTCTCCTCCCTTACCATTACCTCTTATTTTACTATTGTTCACTCTAATAAACCATGTTGGCCTCTTGCTGTTCCTTTACACTTTCCACATGGCTCACTGCACTTCATTCAAGTCTTTGCTCAAATAGCCTCTCATCTAGTCACCCTATTTAAAATTACACTACTCTTCCCACTGTAGTCCCAATCTCCCTTTTTTTTTTTTTTCCCCCAGTGGTACTGGGGCTTGAACTCAGGGCCTACACCTTGAGCCACTCTGCCACCTCTTTTTTGTGAAGGGTTTTTTCAAGATAGGGTCTCTTGAACTATTTGCCTGGGCTGGCTTTGAACCGTGATCCTCCTGATCTCTGCCTCCAGAGTAGCTAGGATTACAGGTGTGAGCCACCAGTGCCCAGCCCAATCTCCCTTTCTTATGTTCCTCTACAAATCTCATTTGGTATACTATATAACTTTTATTGGGGGTGGGGGGGAAGAATTGAACCCAGGGCTTCAAACATGAATATGCTCTACCCTTGAGCTATACCCTCAACCCACATTTTACTTTAATTGTGCCCTCCTCCCAGTAAAATATAAACTCCACAGAGCAAGGATTTTATCTATTTTCTTCATTGCTGTAATCCCAGCAACTACAGTATTATATGGTCTCTTTTTTTTTTTTTTTTTTTTAACTAAATTCCAAATCCTCATTGGGTGCTGGTGGCTCACGCCTATCATCCTAGCTACTCAGGAGGTGGAGATCAGGAGGATCATGGTTCCAAGCCAGCCCACGCAAATAGTTCGAGAGACCCTGTCTCGAAAAAAATCCTTCACAAAAAGGACTGGCAGAGTGGCTCAAGGTGAAGGCCCTGAATTCAAGCCCCAGTACAGCACAAAAAAAAGAATGTGAATTTTGGAAATCACTTGGATTTGACACACCACTTATTAGCTGTGTGACCAGGGCAAGTTACTCAATCAGTTACTATCTCTGGGCTTCAGTTTTTCTTATTTTGAAATATTGTAAGAATTAAATCAATTAATATACATAAATGGCTTCAATCATTGCTTGCCACTATTAACAATTAATGAATACAGCCATTCTGAGGAAATGAAATAAAACAAGGCTACTGAAATTGGAATGTGAGAAATTAAGCTGGAAAGATAGGCAGGGATATAATTAAAAGACCTTAAACATCCAACTGGTAAAATTCCTCTCCTTCTAGGTCTCATCCTCCACACTGCCAAAAGAACACGAACTGACCTTATCAGGCTCCTCCTCTCAAATTCCCAAAGGTTTCTATTCTACCCTTGCTTAGGACAAGAACTACAACTTCCCACACAATTTAAGAAGGACCTTTTCAACATTACTCCAATTTATCTTTGTAGTTGACCTACTTTCAAACTACCTTCAACACTAATATATATACATATACATGTCATGTTTTGATAATATAAATATCTCAATGTTCTCAACACTAATATATCTTTCCGGTTTTTCTCATATTTGACTGAAAATCTGGTTCTGTTGCAGTTCAAGTCATCTTCAACCATTGTTGTCTTCCCAACTGATTGTTACAAAAATCTTCAGAAATTTGTAGTGGATATGAATTTACACATCAATTCAAGTAGTTATTTCTTCTTTCCTGCTTCAAAGCTTGTTCCTTTCTCTTAAGTCTATATTAAATCTCATAAATTCTCTCTATAAAAATGGAAATTTTTTTTAAGGTAATAAAACCTAAGTCAATCCAAAAGTCAGGATCATTGCATCAAGATCACCAGTGGAATCAAACATTAACTGTCCTAGAAGTCAGAACTAAAGGCATGGGTTCTAAACTAGATGTCCATGGACTCCTCAGGGCTACAAAGTAGTTTTACGAAGCCCCTTAAATCGCATGCAAAGTATGTGAACATCTTTTTCAAGGGAGAAGGTCCATACCTTTCATCAGAGTTTCAAAGATATCTGTGACCTCCAAAAGGTTAAGAAGTGCTCTAGAGAAAAAGCAAAGACAAGCAAATGTGATTAAAGAGTGAGTCCTAAGCCAGTGGTGGTGATGCACGCCTGTCATTCCAGCTACTTAGAAGGCAGAGGCAGGAGCATCAAGAATTGGAGGCCATCCCAAAGTTAGTTAGACCCTATCTCAAAAACAAACAAAAAAACAGGGTGGAGGAGTATCTCAAGTGGTACAACACTTACAAGGCCCAGGATTCAATTCTCAGTAGCAGGCAGAGGGGAGAGAGAGGAGTGTGTCCTGTTTAGGCCCCCAGTAGTGCCTCATGTTCTCTTACACTGTATTACCAAAAATCAGGTCAGAGAACATTACATAAAAGTGATTTACCCAATAATATAAATTTAATGTAAACCTGACAAATATTGATGGAAAGAAACTCCACAAACCAACACAAAGTCCATAAATTCAAGTCATGCGGCAACTGCTGACTTACTCCAGGATTTCAAAAATGGGACAAATAGGAAGAAAATAGTTCTGTTAAGATGTTTTATTGCATTCATCTAAAAATTCATTTTCTGTGTATGTTTTATAACATACATAATACAGAAGTACATAATTTATATAAATACACACACACACACACACACACACACATATATAAAATGAAGTTGGTTGTTCAATTTTCCTTACTTGTGACAGTAAATATTAGGAGAACACTGATACAATCTATACATTCCAGTACAATTGTGGCTCAGATCCCTTTCTAACCCAATCCAAAAACTGGGCAAGTTCTTGAAGCACCCCACACTTGAGAGCTTTAAAAAAGTTAACAGTAAATCTAGAATAATACAAAAACCCACTACTGTACTTTGAAGACCAACAGTCAGGAAAGTTATCAGGTTTCACAGAAAGACTAATTCGTGTCCACTAGTAAGGGACTAAAGACAGAACCTTTTCCTACACTTATGTTTTTAAAAGAAAAAAAAAAAACTCATCAATCATAAAAGATCAGTTTTCAGTTTTGGGTGGATCAGCCTGGTTTTTCAAGGTTCCCAGGATGATATGACCAAAACATCTAATGGGAAAACTACTTGTGAACCACAAATAAAGAGTTCACCAAAGGAACTGGAGCGTTAGGGCTCCTGCTTTGCAAGGGCGAAGCCCTGAGTTCAAACCCCAATCCCATTAAAAAAAAAAAAAAAGCCAGATATTCTTTTAATTCTCCCTAAAAGGAACTACTTTCTACTTTTGGAGAATAATCTAAATGTGAGAAATCTACCAAGATTCTCAAAATGCACAATTTAAAATAGCTCTATGATTCAGTGTCATCCAGCGACAAAACCCTAACCTTGGTACATTTTTTTTTTTTTGGTGGGACTGGGATTTGAACTCAGGGCCTTCCAATTACAAAGCAGGCGCTCTACGGCTTAAGCCACATCTCCAGCCCTAACCCCAACCTTGGGACCGGCTTTCCAAAACAGCGCATCTCTCTCGGGTGGAAGGGGTGGCAGGAGAAAGCTGGCGGGCTGGGCCTCTGGAGCGAGCTCGGGAAACTTTCCAGGCTGAGGCGTGGGTATTCCCACCAATTCCTAAGGCTCCTCCACCCATCCCAGGCCTACTCCCGACGCTCCTCCCTGATTTAAAAACTCGCACCCGGGGTGAAACCCCACCTGGAAAAAGGGAAAAGAAGCCTTTTCTGAATCACGTTCGAGACCCATACAGGTAGAAAAACGCAAAAAAAAAAAAAAAAAACGTTATCTGCTAACAGAGGAATCTCAGCTTCTGGAGAACAGATGGAAAAGCATCCATCTAGGAAGAAAAAGGCGTCCTGGGTCCGCGTGGGGCGCGAAGGAGGGACCACTGACGTAATACAGCTCCGATGATAAATGAGCGGCAAAAAACAGGTAGAAGGCACCTGCACAGCCTGGTGGGGAAGGGGACAGTCAATACCACGATAAGAAGGGGTCCGAACCAACAGATGAAGACAGCAATAAATCCGTGAGAAGAAATGGAAAATTAGGGAGGGCTTGGGCAGGGAGGTACAAAAGAACCAAGGCGGGAGCCGGGAAACGAAGTGTATAACTCTGCAAGGAGAAGACGCAGTATAGGAGGTGCAAACCACTCTGCAGAAATCAATCCCCAGAAAAGCCTACCTCAGCCCCTCCCACGCTTTACAGTACCTTTAGCTTATGGAGCTCAACCGTCTCTGCCGCCATCTTGTTACCCCTCCACCCCTCCAGGCCCCCCACGCGCTGACTCCGCCTCTAGGAGCTCCCGCCTAGGCGTAGGGGCCCAGAGTCTACCAATAGCTATCACTCTTACTCGCACCTTACACCGTCGACTCTTCCTATTAGTCAATGGCTGGTGCGGCTCTCACGCCTCTCGGCAGTTCTCTACCACGCTCAAAAAGTGGGACGGGAAGAAGGGCGGGTTCTACGTCTTTCCTAATGACCAATTGTACGTTCCCATTGCAGATCATCAACCAATGACTGGTAGTAGCGCTGAGTCTGCTCAACCAATAGAGAGAGCGCAGACCGGGGCGGGTGGCTACTTCCTGGAGAACGCAGGTGTAGGAGTGACGGCCGCGCCCCTAGGTAGACGGGTCCCCGAAGCTGGCAGGTAGGGACTGCGTAGAACTTGGGAGTTACCGAGGGGAAAATGGTGGCGAGCGGAATGGGCAGCGGGGAGGCGACGAATTAAAAACCGAGAGGGGATCGCTAAAGAGAGCCTTGAAAATAACCGATGAGCTAAAGCGGGACGCTGGGAGGAGCTTGGGGCAAGCACGATACTAGGGCTTAGGGAGTTTTAGGGCGGGCGAGAGCTGCTTCCTAACCAAGCATCATTTGCTTTCGGGCTAGCACGATTTTAGAGACTAGTTCAGGCAAGAGTCGCCCCTAGCAGAGTTAGAGCCTCATCTTCCGAAGCATTGACCTAAGGTCCCTTCCTAGCCCAATCCAGAAATTGTCAGCAAGTTCTTGCAGCACTTCACGCTTGAGAGATGTTATGATGTTGCTGTCTGCTGACATGCCAAGAGGGTGAGACTAGGCAGACAAGCCCCAGAGAAAAAGGTGGGGACTAGAGTTAGCTTTACTTTTCTCTCTCATCACTTCTTATTGGTCCCTTGATAGCATGACTCCCTGGAACTCTGGGTGTATATGACTTCTTCATGATTCTTTATTGAATTCAAGGAAGCAAAATGAGATATTCCTGTTTCCCCTGCTCCTTGAAGTGGGTGCCCCAAACCTAGGCTTACTCCTTCATGTTACAATTGAAGTGTAAGGATCAAAGTGTTAATGACTCTTCTTGTCTTTTATAGTTTTTCTTCAGTTTTGTTCCTTTCTGCATGATAGGGAAGTTCTTTCGTTCCCAACAGAGTTCAGAGGATTTTGGTTCTTCAGGAGACAACGGGAAACAAGCTCAAACAGGGATTAAGAGGAAATTGTGTTGTATTCCTGTCTGATTCCTCACTGTGTGGTAGGATGAATGTGGGGGTGGCACACAGTGAAGTAAACCCCAACACTCGAGTGATGAATAGTCGGGGCATCTGGCTAGCCTACATCATCTTGGTAGGACTGCTGCATGTGGTTCTACTCAGCATCCCCTTCTTTAGCATTCCTGTTGTCTGGACCCTGACCAACGTCATCCATAACTTGGTGAGCACTAAACCACACCCTTGTACCCACCTTAGGCCTTTCCCAACCAAAAAAAAAAACAAACTCTTCAATTGTTTGTCTTCCTTTTGGGATCTTAGCATAATTCTTGAGCTGAAGGACTACTTTTCTGCCCCTTATACTATCCCTTTCCCTCTTCACAGGCAATGTATGTGTTCCTTCATACAGTAAAAGGGACACCTTTTGAGACCCCTGACCAAGGAAAAGCTCGACTTTTGACACATTGGGAGCAGATGGACTATGGGCTCCAGTTTACCTCTTCCCGCAAGTTCCTCAGCATCTCTCCTATCATACTGTGAGTCTATGGTGGTAAGGGAGATGTTGGGTCAGAAACACTTCCAAGAACCAGGTGGAAAGGCCCATTGAGAAGCTTTGAAAACAACAGACTACCAGGCTGGGGCATGGCCCAAGCAGTAGAACACTGAGTTTAAACCCCAGTACTTAATTAAATAATTAAGCAGACTACCTACCAATCTTAAGCCCTTTGGAGATGTTAAGATATACTAGTCCTGAGCCTACAGAGAACAGTAAAAATATAGAAGATACAAATCTGGAGGCATGGCTCAAGCAGTAGAATGTTTGCCTAGCAAATATAAAGCCCTAAGTTCAAACCACAGTACCATCAAAAATTAAAAAAAAAGTAGAAGACAGTACTCAAGCATTCCTTGCTGCCTCCTTGGTACTAGGGAAATAGAGAAAGGTCAGAGAAAAGATAAAACTCCAACTAAATTATTTTACAATTCCAAAATCCAAAAGAAGCAAATAAAGTCAGAACTAATGTTAATCTTCAAAAATTAACTGTGGAGAATGGAAGCAGAGTGCTCTAAGAGTCATACAGGCTCAAACAGTTTCAGCTGTCATTTGCCATTTGTCATTAACACCACAAATTGATTTATCATCTCTAGTTAAAAGTGTTTTCTGATTGTATCTTCAACCCCAAAGTAAATACTTTGTGAATACTTTTGATATTGCTGGAATATTTTCAGATCTTTTCAGGACTACATGCAATAAGACTGATAGTTTAAAATAAAAGAGAAAGGAACTGGAAAGGCATGAATATGGGTAGGGAAGGCCAACCACACTCATCCTATTTTTTTCTCCCCCTAGCTACCTACTGGCCAGCTTCTACACCAAGTATGATGCTGCCCATTTCCTCATCAACACTGCCTCACTGCTCACTGTACTGCTGCCTAAGTTACCGCAATTCCATGGGGTTCGTCTCTTTGGCATCAACAAATACTAAGGGATGGGTTGCAGCTCCACAGGCATTGAGAAGGCACTGGAACAAAGGCCCATCACATTTTTCATTTCTCCATACTATCTTCTCTATCTTGAAAGCCTGAGAACTATACAACCTTTCCCAAACTCTCAGGAAAAGAAATTAGGAAACGGGGCTCCTTGACCTACCCTTGTTAGGGGTAAGATTCCTTAAATCAGGAAAGGAAGATGAGGTTAAGGACCAAATTACCTTCCTCTGTAACAAGAAGCTATCCATGTTTGGGCAGCTTGTTTGGTGATGACATTTTTCCATATCTTCTACACCTACTACCTTTTAACTGTTTTGCTGTGTATTTTCCTTATAATAAAGATATTTTTTTCAGCTATGGCTGTAATTTATCAGCAAGAAAGATAATGGTGATACTGAGGAAGAAATATGGAATACTAACTTACTATATAAAACTTTAAACTTTTTTTTTTTTTAATCCCACTTTGGTCTGGTAGGAGGTGTCCTACACTCTCAGCTAACACTTAGTAGGGAAAAGATTCTTAAATGAGAAAGAAGGGCTCCAGCTACATGGGCAAAGAAAGAGAGGGAAGATGTATGTTGCCAGTTATATATTTATAGAAAGATAATCCCCTGGCTTTAAATAGATATATACATACAAATATGAACAAACTTAAAAAAATACAAACCCTTGGATCACAAGGGGGCTTCTGGAAACCCCCTTATCATTCCCTCTCACTCAAGGGTAGAGGGCATGAGTCTGCTTTTTAAAAATTATTAATTTTGGCCATCCTTGCAACAACAAGCCTGAAGTAGAGTTATTTACCCACACAGTAACAGAGGAAAAATTCAGTTTCCATTTTCTGAACTCTATACATCTCCAAACTTAGGGCTTCATGCTTTCTCATTCTGTCTTTTGACTAGTTTATCAGGGTAAAAGAGGGGGCTCCCCCTAAAACAGGTCAAGAAGTAAGTTATGCTCAGTTTAAAAGGGAGGATTATCATCTGCTCTAAAAGCAAATGACAAAGACTTGCAGACCCCAGGGAAATACCCAGTTTCCACACCTCAAAGGAATATATTGTCCAGCCTAGGTTCAAGCCCTAGGTTCTTTGCTCTAGTCACCCCCTTTTTCTTTGGTATTGTCAGAAGACAAGATTCAACTCCTGGGTGCTGAGGAAGGAAGTAAAGTAGTTAAGAGGCTTCCTACAAGTACCGAGTGAACAATTTAAGCTTAAAATTTTCCCTTTTTAAAATAGTTAAAAATAAACAAATCAAACTCCATCCTTTGCTGTACACAGCCCTTTTGACTCCCTGACATTGATTTGAGGAAACAAGAGAAGGGGTGTCAACGCTGGAAAGGCCTCCTCACTTTCTTCCGCCGCTTCGGCTTGGCTTCTCCCTTGGGTACTGTGCTGTTGGGCTTGGAAGCTGTAGTGGCCCCAGAACCAGGCTGAGGAGCTGCAAAGAAGTTCCCATTGGACATCTGGCCTGGGGGTACTTGAAATATCCGGCTCAAGAAATCCTGAAGGTCAGCAGGAGGGGCATCTGGGGTGGCTCTGAAGAAAAAAAAAAGAAGAAATAATACAGCAAGAGATGTTGGAGTAATATATCTATTTAAGTTAAAGACATACTGAGAAAATATACAAGCTGGGTGCCAGTGGCTCACACCTGTAATCCTAGCTACTCAGGAGGCAGAGATCAGAAGGATGGTGGCTCAGAGCCAGCCCCAAGCAAATAGTTTGAAAGACCCTATACAAAATATCCAATACAAAAAAAGGACTGGGAAAGTGGCTCAGGTGGTGGAGCACCTGCCTAACAAGCATGGAGCCCTATGTTCAAGCCCTAGTACTAAAAAAAAAAAAAACTATACATAGAAACTTCCTAGAGAGCATCTAGGTATCCTAAAGAGCAGGTCATCTGAAACCATACTCAAAATTTAAATAGTGCAGGCACCAGTGGCTCACATCTGTAATCCTAGCTACTCAGGAGACAGGTCAGCTGGTTCGCGGTTTGAAGCCAGCCCAGCCAAATAGTTTGAGAGATCCCCTATCTCAAAAAACCTATCACAGAAAAAAAAAAAAAGGTCTGGTGGACTGGCTCAAGCCCCAGTAGTGCAAAAACAAAAACAAACTGGAATAGTGGACAGATAATTCAGAGGAATACCACCCACCTCTGCCGACCACTGGTTCCTGGCATCCGAGAACCAAATGAGATGTGATAGGGAACTCTATGAGTATCTGGAGAGATTCCCACACGCTGGCATCCAGCCCACTCTGCAAACAGGAAAGATAATTAGCCAAAAACATCACAGTTTAGAGCACACAAGGTAGGTATGAGCCCAAATTTCTAGAACACAGAAGTGTACCTGTGATGTCATAGACCTTTCCATCCATCAGTGCAAAGTAGGTGATCTTGAGGCCCAGCATGCTTGATTCTGCCCAGAAGTCTCCTTCCTCAGCTGGATGCAGCCTATTACACTCAGCACAGTATCTGGCACTCTTAGGTTCCCGGTCCATTTCAAACCTTCTACAACCCAACAAAAGGAGATTCCTTGATACTATGTCAGGTCTACCTATGGCATTGCTAATAGTCTCATTATTACTGTCAAATATGATCAAAACACTTAAAATTATCTCCACTTGGTTGTTACATATGTCTATGTATATTCTGACCTCAACTTTTTATCTTAAAACTATTTATTTTCTTATTACTAATTCAAGTTTTTAATTTCAACGGTACAACAACAGTGAAGCCTCCAGGTTTTTTTACTTATCATCTGTCTCCCACAATTAACAAAAATACAAGGGGGGGGTCTGATTTTTGTCTTTGTAGTATTAAAGATGGAACCCAGGGCCTTGCACATGCTAGGCAAGCACTCTAACTTGAGGAAATTCCCCAGCCAAAGAAGGTCTTTTGTTACCCAATCCCTGAGCTGTGGTTGTCCCATCCCTGTGCCTGTATTTCATACCTATGCTTTCCTTGGCATCGGCTACACATCATAGTATTCATTGCCTCCTTGAGGTCATCTTGCAGCTTGGACAGAAACTCATTCACTGACCGGCTCAGTTCATTCTCTGCCATTCGTTTCCTGAAAGAAAGGCTTTGTAAGTTACAAGTACTGAGGGAGTTACAAGTACTGATCTATTTGCTTTTTGAAGCCCCTGGCTAGCTAGAAAGACAATGACTTCAGTTCTCTCTGCCTAAGAGCCTCCATCCACAAATCCAGGGGCCTTTCCGATTGAGTTTTTGTTTTGTTTTGTTTTAATCTACCTCACCTCACAATTTCCCACCACCAACTTACATCTCATATTCCTTCCGCCTTTCAGGGTTGCTGACAATGTCCCAAGCTGCCCTCAAAACCTTAAAGGCCTCCTCAGACCGGGGATGATGATTTTTATCAGGATGAACCTATCAAGACAAAGAAACAGTTCATTACAAATTCATTCCAACCCTCTCTTCATCTCGGATGTATTTCCATATCAAAGTATTCTTTTTCACCACCTTTTTGGCAAATCAATGTAGCTTAATGATTAATTACTGTGGCTCTACAAACAGATCTAGATTGAAGTCCCAGCTATCACTTATCTCAATGACCTTGAATATTTTATTTATCACAGAGTGTTGAGAGGGTTAAATAACAATACATATGAAGTATTAGCACAGAATCTGGCTCCATGGTAATCTACATCCCAGTTTGCCTGAAACTATCCCAGTTTAATAATGAAAGTCTCATGTGTCAAGAAATTCCACAACCCCAGGGAAATACCTTACCTGAAATACACATACAAAGTCCTTGCATTTTACAAATTAAAACACACTAAGATTCCACCTCACCCCTGTTAGAATAGCCATCATTAGCAACACCACCAACAACAGGTGTTGGCGAGGATGCGGGTAAAAAAGGAACACTCTTACACTGCTGGTGGGAATGTAAAGTAGTACAACCACTCTGGAAAAAAATTTGGAGGCTACTTAAAAAGCTAAACATTGATCTACCATATGATCCAGCAATACCACTCTTGGGGATATATCCAAAAGACTGTGACACAGGTTACTCCAGAGGCACCCGCACACCCATGTTTATTGCAGCACTATTCACAATAGCCAAGTTATAGAATCAGAGAAGATGCCCCACTACTGACGAATGGATTAAGAAAATGTGGTATCCATACACAATGGAATTTTATGCAGCCATGAAGAAGAATGAAATGTTATCATTTGCTGGTAAATAGATGGAATTGGAGAACATCATTCTGAGTGAGGTTAGCCTGGCCCAAAAGACCAAAAATCGTATGTTCTCCCTCATATGCCGACATTAGATCAAGGGCAAACACAACAAGGGTATTGGACTTTGATCACATGATAAAGCGAGAGCACACAAGGGAGGTATGAGGATAGGTAAGACACCTAAAAAATTAGCTAGCATTTGTTGCCCTCAACGCAGAGAAACTAAAGCAGATACCTTAAAAGCAACTGAGGCCAATAGGAGAAGGGGACCAGGAACTAGAGAAAAGTTTAGATCAAAAAGAATTAACCTAGAACGTAACACACATGCACAGGAAATTAATGTGAGTCAACTCCCTGTATAGCTATCCTTATCTCAACTTGCAAAAACCCTTGGTCCTTCCTATTATTGCTTATACGCTCTCTTCAACAAAATTAGAGATAAGGACAGAATAGTTTCTGCGGGGTAGGAGGGGAAAGGGAGGGGACCACGGAGTAAGGGAGGGGGTGGGGGAAAGGGGGAGAAATGACCCAAACATTGTATGCACATATGAATAAAATAAAAACTAAAAAAAAAAAAAAAAAAGTCCTTGCATTTTAGTTTCCTTATCAGTCATTAAGAGTTCCAAAAATGTTACTCACTCAAACTCATTCTTTCCAAACTAGAAAACTGTCATATCCAAAGCATGGTGGCACATGCTTGGAATCCCAGCACTCAGGAAGCTGAGGATAACAAGTTTAAGGCCAGCCTAGGCTATATAAGGAATTCCAGGCCAGCATGGGCTACCTAGTAAGACCCTATTTAAAAAAAAAATTAAAAACAAAAAACAGGAAAGAAAAAAATTTTCATATCCAAAACTTCCTACAATAGTCTGCCTTTCTGTTCCGGAAATTAAATAGCAAATTGTGATCTCAGAAGCTTTTAATACACTTTTTAGTTTTCTCTCCATAACAAATAACCTCTCTTCCCACAGCTTCCTGGTTGTTCCCATCCCCATTCCCAAAAGTACAGAGATAAAATGGTCTTCTCACTGATGCCAAATAAAAAAGAATGGTATCAAACTTCCCATGTTCTTCAACTAACATAACAGCTTTTTAGACATGTTCATACTGGGGCCTAGGTTCTATAAAAGAAGCCAAGAGAAACTCTAGCCTAGAAGAAGAGAGAACTTTGGGGTGTAGAGACAGGTATGGATGGGGAAACACATTTCTACAACAAGAGAAATTTTAAAATGAGAATTTGTGCAAGAATGATATTCCCCTAGAGAAGGTATCTACTAAAAGACATGAAGCTCTACTATCAGTAACAATTTGAGGGTAAGCAGCGGCTATCTAAGAATATCCCAGGCTATCCACTAAAAGGTATGCACTTTCCAACAAATTAATTTAATTATTTAAGTTACAGGCCTGGAGGTTTATTGTACCTTTAATTGTTAAGGGAAATCTTGGTTGCCTCTTTAAGTCATGCAGCCATTGAGGTAATTTGCATACTATGATGTTTTTCTAGTCCACTTGCATACAGTCATTAAAAGTAGGCCCCCAATGCAACTTATACACATTTTACTTGTACAGACATAGCAGTAACAGGGCTAGGGGTTCAGCCCAGTGGCAGAGAACTTTCCTAGCATGCACAAGGCTCTGGGTTTGATCCTCAGCAGTAACAATTATATGTATAAAAATATCGACCTAATATGTACTTCTAATAGCAATTTTTTTTTTCTTTGCAGTACTGGGGCTTGAACCCAGGGCCTCTCACACTCTGAGCAAGTGCTCTATGTCTTGAGCCACACCCCTAGTCCTCTAACAGCAATTTGATTGCATGTTTGCATTAAGCCATATCCTTCAGGTAGACAGTACATCACAACTCCTACAAGCACACTCTATCAATAAAAGCAACCATATTTTCAATCATGACATACATACAGACACACCTCTCTGATTTATGTTCCATTTTCCTTTCCTCTAATCTTCTGGGTTGCCATCTAGAAAAATAGTCTATTTTCAATGTTGAGGATGCAGCTCAATGGTAGAGGGCTTGACTGGCATGCCCCAGGTTCAATTCCCAGCACCACAAAGAAAAAGAAATAACCTATTTTCTTCTACCTAGTCCTGAAATAATTACTCACATGCATTTCCTGAATCCTCCCACACTAGGTCCACACTTGCTTCTCTGCAAAAGAGCTGGGTTTCCCCATGTTTAAAAATCCCTCCTTTGTAGGACATGGTCATGCATGCCTGTAGTCCCAGCACTTGGGAGGCAGAGGCACAAGATGATAATAAGTTCGAGGCTAGCGTGGGGTACATAATGAGACCCTGTCAAAAAAAAAAAAAAAAAATTCCTACTTTGTTCATGAGAGAGCAACTGAGGTGCTCTCTGACTAGGCCTCTTCCCCATCCTAGTTAAAGACTTCATAAGGCTATTCCAAGTGAGTTCTACACTGCCTGTTATACCTGATTCCAAAATAATAACAATAATAATAATTCATAAGCTGGACATTATGGCTCACACCTGTAATCCTAGCTACTCAGAAGACAGAGATCAGGAGTATCATACTTTGAAGCCAGCTCCAGGCAAATGGTTCCCAAGACTCTATCTTGAAAAAACCCATCACAAAAAAGGGCTGGCAGAGTGGCTCAAGCAGTAAACATTGTGAAGTGTGAGGTCCTGAGTTCAAACACACTGTCCAAAAAAAGAAAATCTCACAAAAGGATTAAAATGGAGGGAAGACCCTATACTAGAGAGAAAAGTTTTTATGACTCTTTCCTAAGAATGTTACCTTTCTTTAGCTTCAAGATGGCTTTCTGCTCTGCCTTCCCTTTATTCCACTCTCCCTAAAACTGGAATAGAAAATAAAATATGGGAACAAAGAGTAACAGGAGACAGGCAAAGGTTACTCACCATCACTGCCAGCTGCCTATAGGCCTTCTTCAGTTCAATATCTGATGCTGTGGCTTCAACGCCCAGCACATGGAAAGGATTTAGTTCATCCTCAGGAACCCCAGCCATGGTCAAAAGTCGAGCCACTTCTTCTTCGGGCTGACAGTAGCGCCCACTAGCTACAGATGCATTCCCCTGCCTATGAGTCCTCTGCTTGACCCAAGGCAACTCCAGCCAACCCCACTGAACTAACCTTACCAGCTGCTGCCATGGCCTGCTGTCTCTCAACAAAGCCAAACAATGTTGCAAGGCTGGAGAATCCAGCCAAGAGAAGAGCCAGGTGGCCTTATCCCTCAAGCCAAACCGCTCACCTAGTCCTACCAGAAATCGCCAGCCCAACTGCAGACAGCCTAAAAAGAGGGCCAGAGCCAGAAGCAGCACAGCACCCAGTAGCCTAAGGAAACGAGTGAACAGTCCTGCCCCACAGTAAAAGCCCTGGCTTAGAAACTGAGACATCACCTGGGCCCAGCCCCCCAGCCTCCCTGCCCAGACTCCCACCCAAACTCGAAAAAGGTCCAGATCACTGCCTTTCAGCTGCCTACATGCATAGATGAGATGGCCACAAGTTTCCACATATTCTCCCACCAACACCAACAGTTCAATCAGCCACCAGAAGCCTGCCTGTCCAAGCTGACATAGTTCTTCTGCTCCCCACAATCCCAGGCCTCTGCGCTTATCTGCCTGACTTCGTTTCCGGCCCAGCCGATGTCGACCAGGGGACCTGGGATCTCTACGTCCACCATCCCGAGTATCTTCCTTGGCTGGAAAGCGGTGCCGCTGTCTCCGGGATGGGGGTTTCTTTCCACTGGACACACGTGAAAAATCGGTGGGGAACTTAAGAGGTTCCTCCTCATCATATTCCTCTTCCAACTCTTCATCGTCTCCCAAGGCTGGAGAGGTACAATGGTGGCAAAAGTTGCTAGAAGAACTATCTCCTCCTTCAGAATAAGGACCTTCAGGGATCCCAGGGGTTCCCTGGCAATTACAAGCAGATGGAATGGAAAGAAAAGAAGGGTTCCCATCCTCCTGGTACCCAGCTTCATTCTCTCTTGAGAGTTCCTGGTCCACTCCTGACTCTTCTTCTGAAGATGCCTCACTCTGATCAGGATCCTCTCCTTCTCTAGGTGGTCCTGGACCCCTTGGGGGGCCATGGCTTGGATCCGACCAGTGGGCTGGGTTTGGGGGCTGTGTGTACTTAGGACCAGAGTGCTCTGCTAGGCAGCGGGTACCATTAGGAGCAGTCCCTGCTGAGTCCCTGAGTCCTGAAAATGAAAGTATTTCGGGGTCCACGGAGGGTCCTGAAGTCCTGAGAAAGGCACCACCACTATGGTGGGCTCCCCAAAACCCTCTTTCTCCTGGGTGCTTCTGGGCCGTGACCCCGGGACTTCCTAAGGATTTTAGGTCACAGCCATCATGGTAAGTTCTAATACCTGTAACAAAGATATCATGGGGGTTCTGTCAAGAACAGAACCAAGAGAGGAGTTAAACAAACAATCTTACATTGCGTAGTTATTCAATATACCCAACTCCTCCCAAGTTCTTTCAATAAATCAGAAACAGACACAACGACAACCCTGATTGCACCCTCCCCCCTCCTCCAAATCTTAGTTTTTCTTCTTTTCCAGGAAGCTAAAATCTTCAGTCAGGTAAAGAGGGAGGTACCGCAAAGGGTGTGGTCGGGAGGGGGGGGGTCACTATTAGAAAAAAGGAAAGACTGCCGGAAAGGGAGGAGGGGGGGCACAGACTGTCAGAAAAGGGTGGGGACCGTGCGGCTGTAAAAGAAAAGCTGGGAATGGAGCTTAGGATTGCGGGTGAGAAAGACCACCCGGGAACCCACAGGCTGGGTGCGCTGTAGGGGCGAAGGTAACGAACCGAACAGCGGCGGTAACTCCTCCCCCTCGAGCAGCTGGGCCTGAGGCCAGGGGGAGCTACGAGAGCAGCTCCCCCGGCTCCGCCTCCCGCTCACGCTCTGCTTCCGCCTTCCGTCCCCGCCGCGGCCGCCGATCTGCGCTCACTTCCACTTCCGGGGTCACCAGGGAAAAGACGGGAAGGAAAAGGAAAAGCGGCCCTAGAGAACCCTCGCCCCGCCCCTTAAAGGGCCGTCCACTGACGCCCTCCGGGTGCTGGAATGGCTCTCTGCTCAGGTCGCGCTGCAGGAAGCGAAGTGGGCTCTGCAGCAATGCCTGCGGGCCGGGGGCAGACTCTCCTAGTTGCTCTGACTATATTCCTGAGCCTTGCCGAGACTGGGAGATGGAGAACAGCCACCAAGCTATACATAGTCTGTTTTCCTTGCAGATAAAAAAATAAAAAACAAAAAAAGGGAATGCAGAGGAGCCACCGCCCTGATCCTTTCTCTGTCGGCTGTAGAAGAACAGAGGTCCCTTTGTGTCTTGCAGAGGTGAAGCAGAGAAGAGAGTGCCCCGGCTAGCCCGCGTCCTGGCTCTACAGCCAAGCCCCTCCTCTCCAAGCAACCTTTGGCCTAGCCCGCGCCTGACCCAGCTAACGGAGCTGCCCCTTATTAGCTGTAGCTCCCACGCCCTGATCCGGCCCCCTCTGGACACGGCTCGCAGGCCTGGTCAAGGAGCGAGGACAGAAAGCTGAGGGCTTAGCTCCTCTGGGCTCAGAGCCTAGTGCAAGAGAACACTGCACTCATCTTCACGCCGCTTTGCAGCTCATTTGCATACCGAGCCTTTTGGTAGCTATCGACACGCGCCCCCGCCCCCACGCACATCCTACTGGGTGCCCTTTTCTGCACGCGCTTTCTGGCCTTACAGTTCTGGCAAGTGCCCCTGCCAGACCCCGTCTTGCTCCGCAAGTTTTTCCATGTATGAGCCCGCCACTAGCGCCCCCAGACCAGTAAAAACCCCTTCCTGGGGTACCCGATCCCGACCACCCGGTCCTCCAGAAGACAATACTCCAATTCTCTGGGAAGTGGAAGAAACCAAGCTAGAACTGAGGGGGATTCTGGGACCCCGGTTGGGACTTTGAGAATTTCATGTTGTGGATTCATGTCCTAATCACTAGAGACCTTTCCCCTAACCTTTTGCTGTGCCCCAAGACCCTTTCCCTGCTATGGTAAGGATCTCCGGTCTTTAACTAGAACAGTAGTCAATCTGGGTCCCCCCACACACAGGGGAAAGGTTTGGAGGGTCCCGCCGCCCCCCCCCCCGTGATGTCTCACACACACACACACACACACACCCTCCCCCCCCGTAATGTCTCTCTCACACACACACACACACACACCCCCCCCCCCCCCCCGTGATGTCTCACACACACACACACACACTGTTCCCTTCCTCTACCCCCAGGCTAGTTGCATTTAGCTCACTAGGCTTGGACTTTGCAAGAGTTTAGGAAGCAACGAACAAAGTGGTCCTGAAGGTGCCCACAGCCGACAGCCAGCCCAGCGCCTAAGACCTCCAGGCTGGGATGCAGCTTGGGGACTAGGAAGCACTTCCATCCCTCTCCTCTTCTCAGCCCTGGCAGGGTGGTGAGTAGTAAACACTCCCTTCCCAATATCCACTACTTTAGAGTCTCAGACTTCCTGTCGGAATGAGAAGAACCCAGGAATTTTCCAAGCCAATCTTTAGCCTGTAAGGACCTTGATATGGAAAAGACAGCTGAAGGACACCCACACCACCCCTCTCCCACAACAACACAAATGGCAGCCCCTCTTCCATGATCTCTTTTCAGGATCTGAATTCAAATCCCATTGACAGCCAAGACAGCCCTGGAGAAGGGATGGGTAGGAAAATTCCCCCATCCTGATGGGAAGAGCAAGAGGATACCAGAGTATGAGATGTCCCTAGACTGCATATTCCATGTGGGGCCATAGGACTTGGACTGTGGCTATATGGCCCCTTCCCCCAACAACTCCATCTCAGCATGAAGCCAAGGCTTCAAAACCTTCACAAACTGAGGGTGACTTGTCTCAAACTCTTTTGATGTTTGCTTTTCCTTCTTTTCCTTGGGGTTGAAGCAGCTGTCCTGAAACCCCACATGACTCATTCTCTCCTCTTCCTCTTCCCTCTCCCTCTCTATTAACCCCACCCTTTCCAATCCCGTGGAGTACTATTGAGCCCCAGCTGCAGACGAAACAAGCTTTCTTTATAGTTGGAATGGACTGCTGGCCTTTAGCCCCAGTCCCATTTATGCCCCTGCACCCCTCCCTTCACAGACCCAGGGCTTCCTATTCCTCTTACCCTGGCCCTGGAAGGCAAAAGTCCATTGCTTTACAAGAGTTTCACTTGTGTAAGTTGTATTGTGTATCCTCGTTTTGGAGGTTGGTAAAGCCCCCTGAACACAATCTTATAGATTTCTTCAGTTAACCCAACAGGACCATTCTCCCTCTTGATATCTGCCATTCTTCAAAAGAAATAAAAGGTACAGAGTTCTCAAGATTCATGGGCACCTGAGTCCCTTCTTCCTGTCCCCTCGCAGGTTTCTCAACCCCCTCAAGACATTCATGGATGATTGAGAGGAGTTGACACTAACCTCCCACACTGTGACCACCTTCTCTTCAGCCATGGAGGAAGCCTTGCTGCCTCTGACTGTGACATCTGACCCCAGACCTTTTAATCAACAACTCTCAGAGCTACCAGACCCAAGATGTGTCTTGGAACCCCAGGACAACCCTCCTGAACTGGCGCCTGCCCTGGTGTGTGCCCTTTGCTGCTGCTTTGGAATCATCTACTGCTGCTTCGGTGAGGGCAGGGCCAAGGTCCTGGGAGGCAGCTGCCCAAGACTGTTACCCTCAAGGATAAAGTTCTTCTTTGCTCTTCAGCCACTTTACCTCCTCTGTGAGGAGACACCTAGCTTCAGAGTGGCCCATACTGCCCTTGCCATCTTCTTGGCTATCCCCATTTGCCCATCCCTCCATTTCTCACCTCTGGCATCTGTCATTTGCTATCCTCTTGCCTCTTGCCATTTCCAAATTATCCTCCATGCTTGAAGAAACATCCAGAAACCTGAATCAGCCTGTGATGATTTCCTCCATATGCCATCCCTGAAAGGACTGGACCATCTTCCTATACTTACTCTCCTCAGTGCTTCCATCTTACCTTCTGATTTTCCTTCCCATTCCTTCACAGTTCCTGAATACCCATTCTTCCTCCCTGAGCTTATCCCTTTCTACACCTTGCCGTGAAGTCCTCTTGGTGTGCAGCTACTATCTTCTGCTCCTCTGGTTAGCCATTTCTCTCCTAATTTGTCAGTCATCCCTGTTGAAAGCCCCTTCTGCCTCTCAGTGCCTCTTACCTCTCTCCTCAGGTTATCGCTGCTTCAAGGCAGTGATGTTTCTCTCTGGCCTGCTGTCAGGAGCTCTGGTGATCTTCCTGCTGTGCCATAAGGAGCAGGTTCTGGAGACACAGCTGAGCCTAGAGGTGAGCGCGGGCATCGCGCTAGGCATTGGCCTCCTTTTTGGCCTTGTCACCATGCTGGTTCGCAGTGTTGGGCTCTTCTTGACTGGTCTCCTGCTAGGTCTGACTCTGGGTGCTGGGGCCCTGCTGGGCACTGAGCCCATCTACCAACCACCTTCAGCCTGGGTGCCAGCCGGGGGGCTGGTGGGGCTAGCACTACTAGGAGCCCTGCTCACTCTTCGGTGGCCACGTCCATTCACAGTTCTGGGCACAGCCCTGCTAGGTGCTGCAGTGCTGGTGGCCTGTGCTGACTACTTCCTGGAGGGGCTGGCACTGGGCATTCGGCTGGGTGAACGCCTGCAGGCTCTTTCAGCCTTGCCTCCTCTCTGCTGGTATAGCTGGGTCTTACTGGGGACCTGGCCAGCCCTGGGGGCTCTTGGGACCCTGGCCCAGTGGAAACTCATGACTGAGGAACGTGGATGCCACACCAATGGTGAGTTAGTGCTGTGGTACAGGCCAATCTGTGCCTACTTGTGTCCCTGGTTCCCAAACTTGAGGAGGGGAAAGGGAGAAATACACTTGAGGGGTAAGAATTGGGGAGGATATCCAAGGTCAAGGGGGCAGGGCATTAAAAGAAAGTTAGAATGAAGTAGCCAAAGGAGGTCTGGATAATAATGAGAAAATAAATTATCAGAAGATGCAGGGAAGAGTTATTTGGAGCTGTTATGAAAGGAGAGGAGGAACCTAGGGACGTCCAGGAGGAAAGAGTAGAATTCCAGTAACTGAGGGGAAGTTAAGATTTAAGGAAACAATAACAGGAAGGCCAAATAGGTTTCTGCAGAGTGTAAGTCTGTTTGGGGTTGGGATTCAGGGCTTAAGGCCTCCTTGAGTCTGTATTGCCCCCTCTCAAGCAGTGGTCTCAAGCCATCAGCAAAGGCATCTCCAACTCCTTCGGCTCCATCAGCAAGAGGCCAAGTGGCACCGGACCCCCTCTGGGGTGGGACTGTGTGAAGGCAGCTATCTGCACCAGCTCCCCACCAATGTGCAAAGCCCTGCTGACAGTCTGGCACCTGTGAGTAGGGATGGGGCACCCTGTGGGTACGGGGCAGAGAACATATTGGGAGGGTAGAAGGGCTCTGACCCAGAACCTTCCTTCTACCCTCTCTGCCCTGTACCCCTTCAGAGTTATCTCCAGAGTCTTCAAGAGCGCCATCTGGGACCAAGCACCCAGGCCACAGCCCACCCCCACCATCCTGGACCTGGATTCTGACTGAAGTTCCTCTGTCCCCCTCACCACACCCTGTAGCTCCACCCCAACCTGAGCCTAAACATCACTCATGCCCCCACTCCTAGTCAGGGTCTGGGAATGCTAAATGGACAGGGCCTGAACCCACAAGATCCACACACAAACTTCCCCACCTCTTGGTCTTAGGGATGAGATCTGTGCTCCAGACCAACACGGTAGTAATGTTTCAGAGATAGGCAGAGAAGACTCTTGTTGGGTGAGGGGGAGGGCAGAAGTATGAAAACCTACTTCTGTCCAGTGCCCTGATTGCTAAGAAACTAACTCCCTAATTTCCTCCAAACCAAGGAGGACCCTTACCCAAATAGTTTTTTTTTTTTTAACAGTGCTGGAGATCAAACCCACAACCTTATGCATACTAGGCAAGTACTGTACCACAGAGCTGCACTCTCAACCCTCAAATAGCCTTAAATGCCTGTCTCAGCGTGCATCACAATGGTAAAATTAAGGGCTTTATTTTTGTAAGGACCTATAGAAAATCAGGGAGCTTTTAAAGGTATTTGATAGCTTTTTGATAGGGTGAATGGCACAGAAGAGCTCCAGGATCCCCCTTAGGCCCCTCATTAGGGAGTAATTGAGTTGCTGGTTGCTCTTTCCTCCTAGACCCCATAGGTTTGAGCCCCCTTCTCCTACCTCAGCAAAGAACACTGTACTCCATGGTGCTTCTCCTTCTTTCCTTAACCAGAGGAAGGTCACAGCACCTGCCTCATTACCCACCTTTCAAAAGCTGGCTTCTCACTACAAGAAGAAAGCATTGGGACACATGTCAGACTCTTACCATTTTGCCCACAGGAACCTCGTCTTCACAAGGGCTGTGTGAGAGACAAGTGCCTTCTCTGCCTCAATATAGGTGATACTAGATTTTGCCTTAATCAGGATTTTGTTCCAGCCACTAACTATTTTAACCTTTTCCCCCCAGACTCTCCTGCCCAAAGTCTGTTCCCTGGTTTTCCAGACAGCATGAAGAAAGACATATCCCTCCCCTGGGCAGAAAGGCTATGTTGGGAGAGAGGAAGAATGTGGAAACGTGAATAAAATGGCATTGAAAACTCAACCCAAGAAGTCCAGCTTCCACCGTTGCTGCTCTTTTCTTTCTCTGTACTCCAAAACAAAGAGATAGCCATATTAACAAATCTGTCCCCTAAAGATCTGAGAAAGAGCTGGGTGCCAGTGGCTCAAGCCTATAATCCTAGCTACTCGGGAGGCAGAGATCAGGTGGATTGTGGTTAGAAGCCAGCCCGGGCAAATAGTTCGGGAGATCCTACCTCAAAAAAAATCCCTCACAAAAAAGGACTGGTGGAGTGGCTCAAGGTATAGGCCCTGAGTTCAAGCCCCAGTACAACAACAACAAAAAAAAATCTGAGAAAGTTACCCTTATCAGACCACTGATGTGCTAGACACTCAGACAGCTAGAGGAAGAGCTGTTCAGTCCTCTCTCAGGAACATGGAATAAGCCTTTATTAAACACAAGTGTGCCAGACACTGTGCCTGGCATTTCACATATAGTATTTCATTTAATGCAATAACCCTGCAGGGTTAATATTAGCCTTATTTTGCAAATGAGGAATTCAGTGTTCAACAAGATTAATAAGCTTGTCCAAAGTTACGAGCAAGTGAATATGATTTTCAAGGACTCCAAAGTCCTTTCTCATTTTAACTGGCCATGCTGTTTTCTTGCATTATATCTAGGAAGACAGGACCCAGGTATCCAGCCTCCCTAGCTATTGGCTCCTATCTGCTAAAGATCTGGTAGACAATTCCCTCCACCATTGTCTTCCAGAGAGTAGATGGCACAGTTAGAAGTGCCATCTAATATGAGGAGAAAATGGATGGAGTTGGTGACTGAATGAAAATTAAAGGAGTACTTCCCAGAAAGGAAAGAACTCAGGAAATTGTGACAAGAGTTGGAACTTTAGAGACATGAGGTCTATGGTTCATGCCTGGACTGTAGCACCTGCTTAGTTTTAGTTAGCAGACATTTGGTTAGGTCTTAGACCTCTTGGAGGGTGACATTAGCAGGGAGTGAAAGAGTGGCAGAGTCTGTATCTGAAAGGGTAATGTCCATGATTGAGTCTGTTGGTGAACGGTGTAGTATCCATGGCTGAGGGAGTGTACTCAAGATTGTGCCTGTGACTGAGGCAGTCTCATCCCCAACTGATGAGATAGTGGCTGGGGTCTGGAGAGGACAGTGCATCCAATTGTGGGCAATATTCTGGGGATAACCTTTCTCCACTCGAAGTTGCCAGTTGAGGCGCCAGTACTCTTTGCCCTTGAAGAAGTAGACACGGCCATCCTGCCAGCTCATAGCAGCAGAGAGCTGGTCTGGCACTCCAGTAAACAATTCCTTGATTGGTTTGGGGTAGCGGCTGAAGTCAGTTCGTGCCAGCTCATCCCACTGCCAGTAACCTGAACCCTAGGTATAGGGTGGATGGGGAGAAGAGGAAAATAAGGAGAAAGCTTAGGGACCCCAGATCCCAAACCTACTGCAACCACAGAATGTGTGTTTGTGCTAGGCACCAGTGGCTCACACCTGTAATCCTAGCTACTCAAGAGGCAGAGATCAGGAGGATCGAGGTTCAAAGCCACCCCAAGCAAATAGTTTGTGAGACCCTATCTTGAAAAAAGGGCTGGTGAAGTGGCTCAAGGTGAAGGCACTGAGTTCAAGCTCCAGTGCCACCAAAAAAAAAAAAAAGAGAGAGAAAGAGTTTGCTTCTCAGTATGAGATTTTCCCTTGCTTTGAACTTTATACCTTGAAGAGGAACACCTTTTGATTAAGTGGCCAGTACAGAGCTGCATCCAGGTTGGGTTCTACTCTATTCAGTTTCTTGGGGAAGCCAGGAGACATCTTGAAATTAATGTAGCGCCACACCTTATCTCCTGAGAATGTATAAGGAAAGAACAAGTCACCTCTGTCCTCAGGTAGAGCTTTAGATCCCTGTACTCCACCCTTTCAGAAATTTCTCAACTCCCCCTCCCTTTTAGGGCTTCCCTATGACTAGGCCATCCCCATGTAAAACTACATAGCTAACCCCCTTACCCTTAAAGAAATGAATCCATTGAGTTCGAGGAGAGTACACAGCAGCATCCAGGTTTCCTGGGAGACCCTCCCAAAGGGCAGACACTCGGAACAAGGGGCCCCGACCTGAATTTGTCACAGTCCACACATAGTCCCCCTTGAAAGCGTAGGTCTTCCCATGGGGTCCTGAGAGCAAAGGTAGGCCAACAAGTCAAAAAAGACAGGATCAAAAAGACAAAGACTGGGCTGGAGGTGTAGCTTAAGTGAGTATCTCAGGTAGGCTGATTCTTCAAAAATTCATTCATCTTCAACTCAAGGAGAAAAATTAAAAGCAGAGAAGAAGGACCCAATGTTCAGCCTCTCCCTTATTGTTCAGAGCATTTTAGTTCTGGTTCACTCAACAAAACAAAAGCCCTGAAGATAGCCATTTCTCCTTGAGGACCTCCTTCTCTACCCCAGTGGCTTGTAAGTTCTTCCAGCCAGGTGCAAAGCCCTCTCTACTAGGCATTCCAGTCAATTCCATCTTGCTGCATTTCTACATATGTTTTAGTGGCCCTGATATGGTGGCCACATTGGTAAATACTTGCCTGCCCTCTTTTAATTTGGCTATGAACCATCCTTCTCCGTGCTACATGTATCTTCCATGATCATCAATCCCTGCCTGGAATCTAACCTCCATTGCTCATTCTATGGTCCCATGTCCTCCCATTTATCCAGGCATTGGGGTCAGCAGCCTGCGCCCACTGCCTGCCTATAGCCTGTTGGGAAAGGGCCTCACCCAGCATCATAGCATCCAGTTCACCGCTGCAGGGGTTTGGCATGGGACTGGGTTCTGTGGGCACTAGTGGTACAGTGAGGACCTCTGTCTCTTCCTTCTCCTCATCCTTTGTCTCTGGACTCTTCTTGCCTGCAAGGTGAAATACTCAGGGAAAGAAGTCATAGCACCTGGGCCTCTCTACCCGTACACTCTAAGTTCTGCTGAGCATAGAGAGGAGAAAAGGGAATCTTAAGAAGTGATAGTCCATAATATATCAGTTATCAGCAGAGATATTTTTTAGTTTGGAGAGGCACCAGAAAAGCAGAAGGAGGTTTCTGGAATGTATATGGTCTATCTTCAAGAATGGGAATAAGGGGAGAAGCCTAGAAGGAAGATTAGACACAGAAGAATCAGAAAGAAACAGTTCTTGAAAATGAAGAAGCCTGAACCAGTGGGTAAAGGAAGAGGAAGAAACCAAGCCACTTCCCTCCATGGAGGCTAGGCCTGTCTCTAGATGCATACAGAGATGCTAGTTAGACTGCTCCTCATGCTCACTAGGGAGAGAGACTGACCATAGAGAGCCTGGATCCCTGCCACATCATCTGGGTGCAGCTCAAAGTAGGGCCGGTAGCCAGCATAAACAGGAGCCATGAGTGCCTGGGTGTATCGGGAGTGCCCAAGTCCAAGGGCATGACCCAGTTCGTGGGCTGCAATGATGCGCAGGTTCACCCCCTGGTAGGTCCCCTCAGTCCAGAACTCATCTTCATCAAAGTGTACGCTGCCCAGCTCTGGGATGTCAGCATGGGCTAGGACCCTCCCTGGACAAAGGCAAAGGTACACAGGAAGGAAGTCAGAACCTACTATGCTGGAGAATACCCTGCTTGTTATAAATGTGAATTACTCCATCCCCTTAAAATTCCTCCATGTATATTCACTGTCTCTTGAATGTTTTTCAGATTCCTCTGTCATCATCCAGTTCTCTCAGGAAGCCCATCACAGTCCCTTATCCTATCCAGCCACTCTGTCCTCTCTAGCACAGTCTTCTCTCGTGTGTGCTTTGATAGGGAAATTTATGCCAGGGAAGGAGGGATGAGCTTCAAAAAGAAGGCTGGGTAAAGGCCCAGATAGTGGACCAACTTCTCCTCTAGGGAATATTAGAAAGTGGTCAGAGGGTGCAGGGTGCAGGTGGGCAGAAGGGACAGCCTGAACATTTAGGTTCCAAAATTACTGGCTCAAGGAGACAGGGTGATCTGTGAGGTGAGAGCTGAGAACTGTTGCCTACCAGGCCCATCAAACTTATTGGAACAGTATGGGCTTTGGCGGCCATGAAAGGAGAGGCGGATATCAGCCCAGCCAGCTTGCACCTCCCGGAAGGTCAGGGGGGCCACATTGCTCCAGTAATTGAAGGCTTGATGCACAGCTGCCCGGGCTGTGCGGGATGAGAGCCTGGAGGGCAGATTCAAGATGCGGAAGGTCAGGTGCTTCTTTCTCCAGCGGCCTGGTTAGCAAACCAGAAAACAGTAGATTAGAAATATAGATCCTTCTGCCAGGTGCTGGTGTCTCACACCTGTAATCCTAAATACTCAGGAGGCAGAAATCAAGAGGATCCTGGTTCAAAGTCATCCCAGGCAAAATAGTTCACAAGATCTATCTGGAAAAAACCCATCACAAAAAAAAAAAGGACTGGTGGACTGGCTCAAGGTGTAAGCCCTGAGATCAAATCCCAGTACTACAAAAAAAAGAAAGAAATATAAATATACAAATTATATATATAAATATATAAAATATATATAATATAGTATATATTATGTATATATATATATATATACACACATATATATACATATATATACATATATATACCAGGCTTAGAGAGCTCCCCTAGGTATAAGCACTCACAGCCCTCTAACAATGACCTAGTTGTTCAAGTCATCCCAGTGCCACCAACACACTAGAGCCACACTATTCTCTCTTCTCCCTCTCTTTCCCAGGCTCAATCCTCACCCAGAAGTAGGTATTTAAGTGTCTTCTGGTTAAAGGGATCCTCCAGACCACAACGAGGCTGCTTCATGTGGGCCCTTGTGGCATCATCCAGCTGACCCGAGACTGGCAGCTCAGATGCTTCCTGAAAAACTCTGGAAAAGAGGGAAAGGGATGGGTCTACCAGGCTAGATGAATCTGGAGTAACTAGGAACTGGGGATAACCCAAAGTAGTGGCCAAGGAGGGTATGGAATCTTTGAAGTTGATGGGGGTCACTCCAGCCTCTAACAATTTTTTTTCTTCTTCTTCTTCTATAAAAATGGTAGTACTTCAACTTCATCTGTCCATTTTCAGTGTCTTTTATTTAAGTAAGATTGTCCTCAAGTGTAGCCCTCCTCCCCAATTTCTAACCTTCTTGTGTGCTGGGGGAATGACACCGCCCCATGCCCCAATTTGAAAAGTCTTCCAATAGTGCTCCTACCTGAGGGCCTGCCCTCCCTCAGTCTTCCCCCTCTTGACTGGACCCACCTCCCAGCCAGGGACAATTTCATTCACTTATGGACTATTATAGGGTCTATGGGCTTTTCAAGGGATCTGAACATTTCTTTCTTTCTTTTTTTCCTTTTTTGCAATACTGGGATTTGAACTCAGGGCCTCACGCTTATACTCTACCACATGAGCCACTCTCCCAACTGCCTACCTGCCTGCCTGCCTTCCTTCCTTCCTCCCTCCCCTCCTCTCTCTCTCTCTCTCTCTCTCTCTCTCCCTTTCTCTCTCTCTCTCTCTCTCTCTCTCTCTGTTTCTTGTCTCTCTATCTTTTTGTTGGTTTCTTTCTTTTTTGTCTTTTTGAGACAAGGACTTGCTGTACAGACCAGGCTGACCTTAATTTCTCCATGCTCCTGCCTCAGCCTGCTCTGCCTGGGATTACAGGCAGGTGTACACCATCATGCCCAGCCTTTTGTGCTCCTCATTTTTTTTTGTAGTTCTAAAGTTTGAACTCAGAGCCTACACCTTGAGCCACTCCTTTTTTTGTGGTGGTTTTTTTGAGATAGATCTTGTGAACTACTTGCCCAGGCTCGCTTTGAACCATGATCCTCCTGCTCTCTGCTTCCTGAGTAGCTAGGATTACACGCATGGGCCACCAATACCTGGCTTGTGCTCCTCATCTTGAATCCCCATCTTGCCCCCTGCACAACCATCCTAACAATGATAACACCTGTCCAACAGATTCTCAACATGGATTTAGGCCAGGCATAGGTAAGCCTGAGGAGAGGAAGGGATGCGAACATCAGCTATGAAAACATATGACCTCTCACCTCAGAGCTTCCATGATATCTTCTGGCCTGAAATCATCCTGTCCTTCTAGAGATTTCTGTAAGTACCCATATTGCAACAGATAATCCTGTGATGGAGTGCAAGTAAATAGGATAAAAGGGGGTTAGTCTCAGGGTAAAGCTTCGAAGCCCATCAGGAGAAGAGAGGACAAATACATACTAAGAAGTGCTAAAGGAAAGGCACCTTAGAGAGGTGCTCAGGTGGAAGGAAGGGAATGACCAAGGGGTGGGTGGGGTAATTATGGAGTAGAGGAAAGAGTGAAAGGTAGGCAGGTTAAAGGGTGGGAGGAAAAGGAAGGGATTGTGGAATAAGAACCCCTGTCACTCTCCTAGCCAAGGTCCTTCTTTCCTAGGGGACTCACCACAGCTGCCTTCTTCTCTGCAGGCCCCAGAGCCCGGCCTGAGATTGTCATGGGGAGTAAGAAGCCCAACCACAGCTGTTGCCAGTTCATGGTCCCACCACACAAGAGTTCCAGAGGCAGTCCGTGTCCTCTGAACTGAGATTTCTGGGAGCCTGTGGGAGCAGAGCTAGGCAGGGGCCTCTTACCTCCAGTTCTATTCACTGTCAGTCTCTGGTCCTCTTAATAAAACTTCAACTGAGGGGGATGGGGGGTGGCAGTGGAAGGTGACTCAGCCTAGAGATATGTTGCAACTCACCATTAACCCCTGCCCTACCAGAGAACAGAAGCCAAAAAGAGCCCCTGAGAGCCTCTTCCCCTCAGAGTCCTCTGCTGGAGACCAGAAGACTTTTTGTACTGCCTTTGGTGGGCTTCTGGGCAGGATGAGGAGTAGAATCTCTGGAGAGATAGGGGTAGGAACAGGGCTGCCGCCTTGAGTTGGATATTTCTGTGTCCCAGGAACCCTGGCCAGCTAATCCCTCAGCTTCTGCTCTTTTATTTTTTTTCAGTACTAGGGTTTGAACTCAGGGCCTACACCTTGAGCCACTCCACCAGCCCTTTTTTTGTGATAGAATTTTTCAAGATAGGGTCTTGCAACCTATTCGCCTGGCTGACTTCAAACCGCAATCCTCCTGATGTCTGCCTTCTGAGTAGCTAGGATTACAGGCAGGAGCCATCATCGCTCGGCTCCCTGTCTGCTCTTGAACAGGAAAACTGAATAAAATCAAAGAGGTAGGAGTTAGCTGAGGTACCTTAGGTTTCAGGTGAAGTGATCAAGAGTGAGGTATCAGTTTCTTTGTACCCAGCCTCCTGAGGGCTGCCAAGTTGGGAATTTAAATGCTCTTGAAGTCTACTTATGTCTGTTCTACTAAAAAGTCATTGTTTCAAGCTTTTTTTGTGTGTGTGTGTGTGTGTTTGTGTGTGTGTGTGGTATGGGGCTTGAACTCAGGACCTACACCTTGAACCTCTCCCCCAGCCCTTTTTTGTGATGGGTTTTTTCCTTTTTTTCATGGTGCTGGGGATCAAACTCAGGGCATGGGTTCAGCCCATGCCAAGCAAGTGCTGTACCACTGAGCTACATCCTACCCTCTGATGGTTTTTTTTTGAGATAGGGTCTCACAAACTATTTGCCTGGGCTGGTGTAGAACCGTGATCTCTGCCTCCTGAGTAACTAGAATTGTAGATGTGAGCCTATAATTTCAGTTTATTTCAAGCACTTAGTGATCCCAGAATGTGTGGGTGAGAGGAGAATTTAAGGGCACAAAGAAGGGCCCAGAGCTGTCCTCAGAGAGCTTACAGGTCGGGTGAGGCACACCCAAGTACCGTGAAAGAGGGAAGCTCAGATGCCAGGCACTAAACAGGTGACTCGCCCTAGGGACATGAGACTATTGTGAAGTTGGCTGAGAAGACAGATTTGAGCTGAGCTTTGAATGCTGGCTAAGAATTAGATGGGGTAAAAAAGTACTGAGGGACAGGAACTGTGCAAGTCTACAGTGCTAACCCTGAAGGGTCAGGTCTGCCTGATTCCCCACTGACTCCCTAGTACCTGCCTGAGGCCATAATAGATCCCAGAGAATAACTGGGAGGATCGGATGGTCTTGAATGTTACATAAACAAAAGAGGAGAAACAGTTCACTTAAAAAGCTAGCTGCAAACCAGGCTCCACTTGTAATCCTAGCTACTCAGGAGGCAGAGATCAGGAGGATCGTGGTTCAAAGCCAGCCCTAGCAAATAGTTCTGCAAGACCCTGTCTCAAAAAAACCCTTCACAAAAAAAGGCTGGTGGAGTGGCTCAAGATGTAGGCCCTGAGTTCAAACCCTAGCACTGCAAAGAAAATTAAAATGAAATGCTAGTTGCTTTATCTATTGTCTCTTTTAATTCTCACAACTGTCTTGTGAGGGAGGGATTATTTTGGCTTTTTTTTTTGGTGGGACTGGGGTTTGAATTCAGAGCTTGTGCTTTGGTGCCCTACTACTTGAACCACACCTCCAATCCATTTTGTTTTGTTATTTTGGAGATGGGGGTTTCATGAACTAGTTCCTCTGACAGGCCTCAAATCTTAATCCTCTTGATACCAGCCTCCCATATAGCTAGGATTTGCAGGTGTGACCACCAGTGCCCAGGGAAGGAATTTTTTTTTTTTTTTCGGTATTGGGGCTTGAACTCAGGGCCTACACCTCAAGCCACTCCACCAGCCCTTTTTTGTGATGGGGTTTTTCAAGATAGGGTCTCTTGAACTATTTGCCCAGGCTTTCTTCAAACTATGATCCTCCTGATTTCTGCCTCCTGAGTAGTTTGGATTCCAAATGATAGTCACCAATCACCAGCACCCAGCCAGAAAATTTGAACAAAAATATAGAGCTCCTAAGTGGCCTGGCCTATATTCTAATTCCTCTGCTGACTCCACAAAATGTCCTCTTTCCAGATACCACACTAACCCTTAAGTTTTGTTCTTTCTTTCTTTTTCTTTTTTTTTTTGGCAGTACTAGAGTTTGAACTCAGGATCTCAGAAAGCTTTGTTCCTTAAGTTGCTAGGAGCCACTAGCACTTATGCATTCACAACACTTACCTATTGTTCAAATGCATAGGAAAGTGGGCAAGGGTTACTAAACTCATGCTCCCACTAGGACCTCACTTCTGAGCCTTCCCAGCACCCCAGGCTGAAAGGCTGGGAGGCCACAGGGAATCCTCCCATCCAGGGTCAAGGTGGGGAAATACTCCTGACTCATCTTGCTACCCTCAGTGATGCTGGTTCAATGACCCACCCAGCACCCAACTGGGTTACTAAGTTGCAGGTGACCAGTGACAGCAAGGAAGAAAAAACAGAGAGCCTCTGAGCAATGAGTGCTGGAAACCATCACCAGGCTGGGGCACCCAGAAAATAATGGAGTTTGGGGAACAGCTCCTGCTCGCCCTGCAAGGCTCTTTTTCATCTCTTTCCTCCCTCATATCACTCACACTGATCATGGAGGGCTTAAGAGGTGGAACCACAGTCTAAAAACTAAGGAGCCAGACAGGGCAGAATAAAATACTAGAAGCTGCCAAATACTTTATGTCATTTAAATCTCAGTAACAACCTTGTGCACGGTTATTACTGCCTCATTACAGAAAAGGAAGGAGTCTCTGATAAGTGGTTTCAAGTCACACAACTAGGAAGCACAGACTCTAAAGCTATGATCTTTGCACATGGCTGTCCACACCCGGAATTTCCCACAGACACTCAAGACAACCTAGAGCCAGTAGCTACAGGCAGGGCACATGTGTAAGGACTGCGTGACTAATTCCGCTCCCACCAACTGTCATGACTACCCCTGCCACCAGCCCCCAGCACTGAGAGCCAGGTTGACCCAGCTCTTTTACCCTCTGACTACGTCATCTCTTGCTGTGGGGGATGTGGTAATGAGTGCAAAGGGTTAGGACATGTGGCCAGCCTGTCCCAAAAAAAGAACTGGATTCCAAGAGAACAAATTCCTGGGTGCTTTGTGTTGTTTGTTCCCTTCCCTCTCTGTCCACAAACTGTAGCAAGAGTTTGTGTAGAAGTTTTTTTTTTTTTTTTTTTTTTTTTGTGGCACTGAAGTTTGAATTTAGGGCCTCATGCTTGATAGGCAGGACCTCTTTTGCTTCAGCACTAGGTCAGCCCCACCCCTTTTTTTCTAATTTTTTATTTATTTGTGGTACTGGGGTTTGAACTCAGGGCCTACACCTCAAGCCACTCCACCAGCCCTTTTTTTGTTTTTTTTTTTTGTTTGTTTGTTTATTTTATTATTCATATGTGCATACAAAGCTTGGGTCATTTCTCCCCCCTGCCCCCACCCCCTCCCTTACCACCCTCTGCCCCCTCCCTCTCCCCCCCACTCCCTCAATACCCAGCAGAAACTATTTTGCCCTTATCTCCAATTTTGTTGAAGAGAGAGTATAAGCAATAATAGGAAGGAACAAGGGTTTTTGCTGGTTGAGATAAGGATAGCTATACAGGGCATTGACTCACATTGATTTCCTGTGCGTGGGTGTTACCTTCTAGGTTAATTCTTTTTGATCTAACCTTTTCTCTAGTACCTGTTCCCCTTTTCCTATTAGCCTCAGTTGCTTTTAAGGTATCTGCTTTAGTTTCTCTGCGTTGAGGGCAACAAATGCTAGCTAATTTTTTAGATGTCTTACCTATCTTCACCTCTCCCTCGTGTGCTCTCGCTTTTATCATGTGCTCAAAGTCCAATCCCATTGTTGTGTTTGCCCTGGATCTAATGTCCACATATGAGGGAGAACATACGATTTTTGGTCTTTTGGGCCAGGCTAACCTCACTCAGAATGATGTTCTCCAATTCCATCCATTTACCAGCGAATGATAACATTTCGTTCTTCTTCATGGCTGCATAAAATTCCATTGTGTATAGATACCACATTTTCTTAATCCATTCGTCAGTGCTGGGGCATCTTGGCTGTTTCCATAACTTGGCTATTGTGACTAGTGCTGCAATAAACATGGGTGTGCAGGTGCCTCTGGAGTAACCTGTGTCACAGTCTTTTGGGTATATCCCCAAGAGTGGTATTGCTGGATCAAATGGTAGATCAATGTCTAGCTTTTTAAGTGGCCTCCAAATTTTTTTCCAGAGTGGTTGTACTAGTTTACATTTCCACCAACAGTGTAAGAGGGTTCCTTTTTCCCCGCATCCTTGCCAACACCTGTTGTTGGTGGTGTTGCTGCTGATGGCTATTCTAACAGGGGTGAGGTGGAATCTTAGTGTGGTTTTAATTTGCATTTCCTTTATTGCTTAGAGATGGTGAGCATTTTTTCATGTGTTTTTTGGCCATTTGAATTTCTTCTTTTGAGAAAGTTCTGTTTAGTTCACGTGCCCATTTCTTTATTGGTTCATTAGTTTTGGGAGAATTTAGTTTTTTAAGTTCCCTATATATTCTGGTTATCAGTCCTTTGTCTGATGTGTAGCTGGCAAATATTTTTTCCCACTCTGTGGGTGTTCTCCTCAGTTTAGAGACCATTTCTTTTGATGAACAGAAGCTTTTTAGTTTTATGAGGTCCCATTTATCTATGCTATCTCTTAATTGCTGTGCTGCTAGGGTGTTTTTTTTTCTAGAAAGGGTCTCATGAACTATTTGTCCAGGCCAGCCTCAAACCTCAGTC